GCGATTGTTATTTCCGAAATACGCAGGCCCACAATGGAAGATCGCTACTTTGTACACAATCTACCTTCGGAATTGAATTCTACAAACCTCTCGTCACTCCGACAGATAACAGCTGATAGAGATGAAAGAACATACTGTGCCGAACCTGCGTAAAGACAAGGGGAAGTTGATGAAGAGTACCAAATATTCAATAGGACATTATGTATTTTTCTACATAAGTTAGTTGTAAGTAAACGACATTCTATTAAAATCAGAATTCCAAGTATCTAAATGCAGAAATAATAGAGAATTAATAACATAAAATGCGCAGTAAATGTTGCGAAACATCGATATTTGAAAGCTCTAACGCGCTTCGAAAGCTTTTAAGAAATGAGATTACATTTTAATACGCATACGAATGCGCTTTGCCGACTAATGTATTAACGCAAAGACTTAGTAAAGGACTTTCATTCAGAAAAATATAGTTATTGCTTGAATAGTTTCACTTAGAGCGGGGCAGCCCTTAGACTCAACTATTCCAGTATTGTGCGATTGTCGATTGTTTCACAGCCCATTCAACTATTTAGTTGCAAAATAAAAATCGAGTAGTGACTGTGAAAAGACTACACAGTGCGATAGTTTGGTTTCAGTTGTGTCCAGGCTCTTAGGGCCCTGACTACAGACCTCTTATCCATTCATAGTTTAAACGGATAGGGGTGTCAAACCAGAAGTATATAAAACAAATTGTTTGCAATACATGTTCATACTTGTTAAGCTCCCATAAATTGTTAGCCAATAAAAGTCATTTAAAAATAAAAGCAATAAAACGTGCATAACCTGTCTCGCTATATTGTGATGTCATCAAGATACATAAAAAAATACACCTAAAAACAATACTTTATTCAGTCAGCATATGTTTTATTGCGCACACCAAATAATAACATAAGCATTTAACAAAAACGCTTTATGTGAATTACCGCGAGCTAAAAAATAAATAAAAAACATCTAAAGAAACTCTATCTCCGAGATGTTTTAATTACTTTGCACTATTTTTACGTATGTTTATGTAATACGTAGTAATAATTCTTCAAAACACCTTTTAGGAAAAAGCGAGGGTGATTTAAAATTCTTACAGTCTTAAACCCTTTTGTTGGCCATCTTAAAATGTGACAACGAGGTTCCGAGATTATTTTATGGATTAATCTTTCCCATAATATGAGAGCAAGAGCGTCGGTGGCTCAGTGGTTTGAACAATTGACTTGTAAATCACAGGTGTTGGGTTCGAATCCCTCCATGTACCAATGTGATTTTCGATTTTTCGAATTTTCATATGTACATAATTTACCCGACGTTCTTACGGTGAAGAAAACATCGTGATGCAACCTGCACATATCGGCGAAGAAATCCAAAGATTCAAAGAGAAAAAACAGTGGGGGTAGTTTTATAAAATACATGGCAAGGAGTGGCTCGGGCGCTCAGTCGAAAACAAGCTCAGTATTTTTCTAGACGTCGCCACGGAACGTTCGATATCTTTACGTTGCTGTCTTGAAGTCGATTTTGTTTGTTTTCAAGTAATTTACAAATCTTGTTATTATGGCAGTCCGTCTTTATTTTAAAGGAATTCATTTGTGTCGAAATATCTAACATAAGTAACTATTTAATATTTTATCACTAAAACAAAAGTATGACAATATTGTGTCTACATCGCCTGTACAATATTATATTCTTTTCTCTTGTCTTTACAAAGAGAAGAACAGGGACGGCAATGCGTGTAACAGGTTCTGTCTGTACATACTAGCGGTAACTTCTAAGATCCTTCGACCGTGACCGGTAAATATGGTATATAATTAATTTGATTTTTTAAACTGTATAAGTAAAGTATTTATTATTTGCTTAATTTAAAGTTAATTTATGATTATAGTTATTCAAAGAGCTTCATTGTCATGTCCTTAAATTACCAAAGTAATTTATTATTTCATGTTAGTATAAAATAGATTTTCAATTAGCTTATCGCATTAGTCGCGTTCGAATCATTCCTAGAAGCAGGTTAGACATTTTAAGACAAGTATACAACAGTGCAAAAAGTGAGTCATTATAAATTATTCTTTACAAAATGTTGACAAAAGACAATCGTGCTTAACAAACTTTGACTAAACCCGAAAACAATTGAACATCTAAAATACGTGAACAAGTAAGTGTTACTGTAAATTGTAACAGCGGTCACACACCTTTAACTAAACTATCGCATAACTAGTGCGATTGTCGATTGTTTCGCAGCCGATTCAATTGTTTAGTTTTACAAAAATCGAGTAGTGTGCGCACCACCATATAAGCTCAAAGGAGTCAAATAGCGACTAAACAATCAAAGGTGTGTGGGCGCTCTAAAGTGAATTGTAATTTTCTTAAGGGTATGAGAATTGGAAACTATTTTACAGAAGTCAAAACACTTAAAGAAAAACGATCAGAAAATAATTGGAAAAATTCATGTAACCTTAAGCGATGGTACAAGTTAAGGTAAATGAATATTAGAGGGTGAGTTGGTCGAGAATGAACTCGGAGGCCATTTCTACAGCTTCAAAGGTATTCCTTACGCTGAACCGCCTCTTGGAGAATTATTTTTTCAAGGTACATCCTATTTTTAAACACAACACAAAAACTTACACGACTTCTTTACTTATCCTTTATAAAAATAAAAGATACTTTTACAACTTTTTGGCATATCGTATTTATATTGCTATTAAATATTTTTCATAATCAACCTTGTATTACAGCCACCTAAACCAAAGAAGTGTTGGGAAGGAGTTCGTGAGGCAATAAAATTTGGTCCTATCTGCTTTCAAGTAAATTTATTCGCAATGAAATCGTCTCCTAGTGGGTCCGAAGACTGTTTGTATTTGAACGTTTATTCACCAGACATAAATCCGACAGAACCTTTACCTGTCATGGCGGAGGATTTCACACTGGAAGTGGAAATGATGATATGTGCGGACCCGAATTCTTAGTAAGACATAATGTAGTTTTTGTTACATTTAATTACAGATTAGAAGTTCTTGGCTTCCTCTGTTTAGACACAGAAGATGTTCCAGGTAACGCTGGCATGAAAGACCAAGTAGCTGCCCTCAGGTGGGTTAATGAGAACATAGAAAAATTCGGTGGTGATCCGAAAAATATAACAATTTTTGGTCATAGCGCAGGTGCATGTGGCGTTAACTATCATTTGATATCGCCAATGACAAAAAATCTTTTTCAAAAAGCTATCATGATGAGTGGATCTTTTATTTCTTCTTGGGGACAAATTAATGAACCTCGAGAAAAAGCTCTTGCTTTGGCAAGAAGTTTAGGATGTCATAGTGAAGATGATAAAGCACTTTATGAGTTTTTTAAATCACAGCCAATAGAATCACTAGTTAATATTCAGTTACCTATAACATTTAACAATAAAGGCAAAGAATTATTTGAATTCACTTTCGCAATAGTAAGCGAAAAGGCTTGTGGTGACAATGAGAGATTTATTTATGGTGATGTTATTGCAAAATTACGCGATGGAATACACGAGGGCGTTGAACTTATGATGGGATATACTGAAGACGAAGGTCTTATCAATTTAAGAACTGATTTGCACAAAATACTCACTTATGCAAATACATGTCCGGAATTATTTGTTCCCAAACCGATAGCTGATAATTGTAGTATAAAAAAACAATTTG